ATTATTAAATCAAATTATGTATATGAAATTATATAAATAAATTATATGAAATTATATGTATATGAATTATATAACTAAAATTAAATAACTGTTTAAAAAAAAGATGTCAGTCTTTATTTTTCTTCTTTTTAGGGCAGCAGTAGCTCTAGCAGCAAATCAACCATCCACATCAAAAGCTGCAGGACAGCCCACATTTCAGAAACAAATCAAAGAAAAATAAACAAATACTACTGTTCCAAATATTCTGTATGTTGCTCAAAATATATTGTTGTTGTTTTTTAAAAAAATTTTTTTTACCCAGACATTTCAAATTAACACATTTTAGAGCTGTAACAACAATACCGTAATACCGTGAAACCGTGATATTTTTGCTTAAGGTTATCATACTGTCAAAATCTCATACCGGCCCATGCCTAGGGTGTACTCACTTTTGTGGCCAGCGGTTTAGACATTAATGGCTGTGTGTTGAGTTATTTTGAGGTGACAGCAAATTTACAAGCTGTACACTTACTACTTTACATTGTAGCAAAGTGTAATTTCTTCAGTGTTGTCACATGAAAAGATATAATACAATATTTATAAAAATGTGAGGGGTGTACTCACTTCTGTGAGATACTGTATATATTATTTAAATATAATACATACATTTAAAGTAGGGCTGAAGAATCGATTTCCATAATTTCACATTACCTAGCCAAAGGCCGGCCACCCCACAGAGGTAACCCCAGGGCAAAGAGGAGAGGGAACCCCAATGCTCCACTCTGGTTAAGTACAGGATGAGGGGAACGCAGGAGATAAAGATGAGATTGAAAAAGCCCATGGTGGAGAAGAAATGAGCAGCCTCGCCCAGATTAGCACTGCCGAGGAACATCTTAAACAGCACCTGAGTGGTTTTGCAGGAAAAGCATATCAATACTGAATGAGTCTTAATGGTCATCAAGGATCTTCTGGGAATTGTTATTTTCAGCTGCACTCACCTTGTAGAGAGCAGAAGTGGAGGCGGAGCCGACTGCTAAGGCCACACCCATAAAGGAATCCCCATGAAAACCATCAGCATAAGCCATCATCACAATGCCTGTGATAGCCATAATGGCAGCCACAATCTAAGAGGAAAGATTACAAAGACATTATGAATCCATAAGGTCTAATAAGGATTAAGGTTTATACCACAATAAATATCAGTGCATGCGCATCATTTAGATCATTTACATTTTGAGGTGGATAGCTGAAAATAAAAACACGTTTTCAAGGAGTAATAAGCAGATACTAAAAAAGTTATGCATCCAGATCTGAGACATCAAGTGCAATGAAAGTCAAGAGTTTTGATGTAAGCATAATAACAGCTTCTGGCAAAGCAAAGCTTTTTTTTTACACTTGAACAAGAACAAATTCTCATTGACTCTCCATTTGTATCTGTTGTGTGTTAGAAAATTGAGTGCCGCATCACTCGTTTCTTCTCCATAACCATCAATCTGCTGTTTAGATGCAATTTTAATGAATCATTTGATATATCAACAGGTAGTGCTTTTTATGTAACTCATTCGTACTCAGTACATTCGCTGTAACTAGATTCATTCATTTTAAGGCCTGTAAGTAAATGTAAAGGATGATATAATGTTAGCCAGTCACTGTCACAAAATACCCCCTGCCAGTGTGATCAGGACCCCAGAAAGCTTTTAAAAAACCCAAAGGGTTTATTTTGTGATAAGGATTAGCTGATTATACATTATCCTGATAATTAAAAGCCTACTTACCAAATAAAGTACAACAGCAAGCAATTTTGGGGGTCTAAGGACATGTGTGAATAACAATCAAAAGTTTGGCAAAATTTTTAATGTGCCATTTCAAATTCCCTGATCACAGCAGCAAAGCTTTGAGAAGCTTCTTGTTGCCCCAAATGAATGAAGTTTGACATGTATACTTACATTTTTCTGTTGTACAATGTGTACAGAGTTAATGAATGTACATACACAAAGTACAAACCAATTAGGCCTATAACTTTTTGTTCTGAGTGTCTCCAGATGATCTAAATGACAAGTTCAAAAAGTAAGTTTTGGTAGCACTTTAATTTAGGCACCAATTCCCACTATTAACTAATTGCTTATTATATCATATTTCTCATATTACTAGCATATTTTTTACTACTTATAAAGCACATATTTATGTCTTATTCTGCATGACCATATAATAGATCCCTTAATCCGACCCCATACCTAAACCTAACAACTACCTTACTAACTTTTAATAAGCAGAAAATTAGAATTTTGAGGCAAAAGTCATAGTAAATAGTTAATAGTGAGAATTGGTTCCCAAACTAAAATGTGACCTAAAATTTCAAAAAAGTATAAAAAAAAATGAAGAGAGAATGCAACACAAACTCGAGGATTATAAGGCAATAATTTAGAGTTTATCCTATCAAGTTCCTGAGATATAAATATAAATGTAAACATTATAGTACCCGCTATGGTCAATTCTCATACATTCTGGAATTGAATTTCACTTGTATACAAAATTTCCAATTAAAAAAAGGCTTTTTGATCAGCTGTTGGCATCCATTTGTATTGATTCTGTAAGAATCTTAGAGCAAATATAATTTGTACCAAAGAAACTGTTTGCCAGATTTCAACTTCAAACATAATCAAATGGTTGCTGAGGCAAAATGGTTTTGGTACTTGAATCCCTAATAAATAAATTGACATGAAATACTGCAACTAGCTAAGTAATAATTAGGGTTATACGTATTCCACCTACCCGCACACCCATGAAGCGATCCTTGAGGACAATCCACGACAAGAGGAAGACAAAGGCCTTGTGGCAGCAGTAGAGCGCTGAGACGTCTGTAGCGGTTAGTTTTCTCAGTGCTAACAGGTACAGGTAGTTAGTAAGCGTCCACAAGATGGAGAAAGGCGCCGTTCTCTTCAAAAACACCTTCAGAGACATTCCGTCCTCCCCAAACAACCGACTACATTCCCTACACAGTGAAATTAGAAAAAAATTAAGTTTTTTGTTGTTTGCTTACTTTGATAATGCAGCACTGTAGCCTACCAGTGGCTTGAAAGGCTTAGTTCACCCAAAAATGAAAATTAGCCCATAAATTACTCATCCTCAAGTCATCCTAGGTGTATATGACTTTCTTCTTTCAGACAAATCCAGTTGGAGTTATATTAAAAATGGACTTTGATCTTTCAAGCTGTTTAATGCCACTCAGCAGGTGTTGCAGTGCTTCAATCCAAAAGAAGTGAAATAAAAAGTGCCCATCCATAAAAAACAAAGTGTCTCACACGGCTCCGGGGGGTGAACAAAGTCCTCCTGTAGCGAATCGATGCGTTTTTGTAAGAAAAATATCCATATTCAAAACGTAATAATCACTTTAATGTAGCTTGCGCCAACAGTTGTACACAGAAGCAGTTCCGGGAGCATGACGTATGAGCTTTTTATTTGACTTCTTTTGGACTGATGCATGCAACACCCGCTGAGTGGCATTAAACAGCTTGAAAGATCAAAGACAACTTTTAATATAACTCCGACTGGATTCGTCTGAAAGAAGAAAGTCATATACACCTAGGATGACTTGAGGGTGAGTAATTTATGGGCTAATTTTCATTTTTGGGTGAACTAACCCTTTAATGATGGATTTGTTTCTTAAACAAGCAGCTTTTTTGTTTCACAAGTCATTAGTTGATGGACTGGAGTTGTGTGGATTACTTGTGGATCATTGTGATGGTAGTGTGATGGTCTGGGGCTGTTTTGCTGCTTCGGGACCTGATAGACTTGCTGTGATAAATGGAACCATGAATTCTGCTGTTTACCAAAAAATCCTGAA